AAACATATCTACGCGTAGATCATGATGTTCTGTTAGAATCGCTGAAAACTGTTTTCCAAAATTCGCAGCGGGTAGTGTACAGCATCGATTTCTGTGGAACCCAGTAGCTGTCAAAACTTTCACATTTTTACGAATAACTCGGAAATCGTAAATTTTTCAGGTAAAAGGTTTGACACAAACTTACCTTAAATTTTGACGACAAATCTGAAAATGAATGAAAAAAGGGGCGGTTTCATTTAAAAAACCAAAGTTGGTAACTACCACACGTTTATGATACACCCCATATATTGGAAAGTAATTTTAAAATGTGGACCTTTTAAACATGAAAAACTTTCGTAGGACGTATTTTCTTGTCAAGTTCATATTTACTGAGATATCGCACTTTGACGCACTAATGAGCAACCCTGTATAACGATGTACACATTTTAGTCAATTTTGACCCTCATACGAAAACGACAAGAGTGCGTTGAAAACAGCACCATTAGCCAAATGTGTATATTTTCAGAATAAAGTAATTTGTGAAAGTTAATAGAAAAAAATACAGGCAGCAGTCAGTTTCAATACCAGGTGGTTTTTTTCAGAATCAAAAAATCCTTTGTTAAGTGTAAGTTCAAAGCACGCGAGACCTGCCTTCTGATTTTCATGTATACATCAGACAACTCATTTGATTCTAAGAACACAGCGGAATATATTTTGCAGATTATAATTGAGCACCTACATCTACATCTATGTATACATATTTACTTAAAAGAGGGTCAGTAAAAGTCAAAGAACTGACATCATAAGAAATTAGAAAACAGTAAGGTGGAAGGACAGCGTTTTGTTTCCATTTTTATTTCATATCCATATATTCTGACATACTGTTTGGTGGCGTTCTTTGTGAACTGCATGAAGACACAATGAGCAACGGCACACAGTGCGAAACAAAATTCTTGTTGATCAACCTAATCAGTATCTCAAGACTGGCAAACAGATTTTGATGAAATTTGGCCAGATACTTGACGTAATGTGGAATAAAGGGAAATTATAAGTAAGACCTAAAAATAATTTCCACAGCCCGTACATTCATGAGGAAATAGGGTATTTTACACTTTTTGCTATAAAGATCATAACTTTATAACAAGCGATTTTTTTTCGTAAAAATGTTGGTTATCTATTTTAATCAAATCTAAGCAAAAAAGCGTAGGTATTCAGATTGTGATTTTGAAGAAAAATTGATTAAATTTTGAAAAACGTGATTGTTGACAATTATTTTATTTTGTTGTTAAACTCTTCAGTATTCATATATCATATTTATTCCCAATCAAGTATTTATAAGTAAAACTAATGAATATCAAAATATTTTCTGATACAATTGCGGAAGGCCCCAGGAAATTACGCATTTTCTCATTTATCTATTCAGAAAAAAAATTTACGCTGAAATTTTAGTTACGCTAAATATTACTTTAGAAAATCTTATTGTAGTTATGCAATTGCTCGTAAGAACTATTAAATACTATGCTACCTTCCGATAAATGTAATCCGGCAAAATCCTGATTTCCATACATTTACTACAGAACAAATGTGAACAAATGAACAAAAAATAATTAATTATAAAAGTTGATATGTGCCATGTTTAAGTTTATTAGTTTTTAAGAGTTGTTACTAGCAATTGTTTATTTTTTTTGGTTTATTTATATGTTATATATTATGAAGTAATATTTAGCATGATTCAAATTTCATAGGGAATTTTTCTCACACCAGAAAACAGAAAGAAATTGTAATTTTCTGGAGCATGCCGATATTGTACCGAAAAAGAATTTGATAATTGTCAGTTTTATTTGTAAATACTTGATTGGAATAAAAATTATTTACAAATCCTGGAGAGTTTAACAACAAAATAAAATAACTGTCATTTTAGCACCAAAAATCACGTTTTTTTAGAATTTAATGGATTTTTTCGTCAAATTCGACGACGCTTTTTTACGAGCTAAAAGCTATGATTGACTTTATAGCAAAAAGTGTAAAACACCCTATTTCCTCATGACGTTTCCGGCCATGGAAATTATTTTTAGGTCTTACTTATATTTTTGCTTTATCCGACATTAGGTCAAGTATCGTCACGACAAATTGGTTGGACTAATCTTGAAATATTAGGTTTACAACAAAAATGTATGTCACACTGTTCAGAGTTAGCGATTTGCCTTAATTAGTGCTTGGGGACAATCGACACATGTTACGAATATTGGATATGTAATGCAATAAAAATGATATAGTAATACAACAGTTGACTATCGATCACATCACAATGTAACCATTCTTGCCACGGCAGCAATAAATAATATTGCTAACAGTTTTAATGCAGAGAGCTCGGTGCTTATTCACATAAAGTAGAGATAAACGAAAATTCATGAATAGTGAAGGAATTAAAGGTTTTGAGCTTTGTTGATAAACTCGTAGATTTGATGCGGAATATGCTACTTTTTAGAAGATTGTAAACAGAACTCTATGTGATAAAAAATATTAAGCGCATAATTGCTTAATAAGCTTGCCTAATAAATTAAACTATTTTTTCTGAAGCTATTCATAACGTAATCGATGATAATGAAACAGTTATATAAAATATGTATTGACAGTTGCATCTTTCTAACAAAACACATTTGCACTAATATTGCTCAAGAGTATCGGTGCGTGTATTGTGCAGGTCATATTGCTTGCGTATAAGGCAAAAGCAATAAGTTTACTGTACTGCCTTTATAGCGCAAAGGCGAACGAAAACTTCTAAGCTTTAAATATTTAGCGCTCCTACACATTTCGCAAAAGTTTCAACACATTTTCCAATTTGTACAGAGTACCTGAGCAGATACGGTTTTGAGCAAATCACTAGGGTTTATGCCACTGTCCTCAAAAATGCTCTGTTTTGAGCTCAATCCAAACTTAGGAGAAAAAATGTTTGAATATTTCAAGTCAGCATCTCTTCGGATGGAATAAGCTTGGAAATAGTTTGAGCATCTAACGAACATTATTGAATTTGCTTCTGAGACTGTCTATGATAGATGAGAAGCAAATAATTAAGAAAACGCTATTTAGGGATTCACATAACATTTTATTGGCAACTATCTTGAAATTAGTATAAAATGCTACGTAAATTTATTAACATTTTATGTTCAGAAGTAAACCACACAGTATATTGACAATAATTTTCGAAAGATAAATTTGTTAGAGCTCTGCAATGTTCAAGGTTCTAAATTTATGTGTTTCTTTTTCAGAGATTAGGAAGTGTGAGAGGAGAAGACTTACCTTACATTCTAGGCTTACCATTAATTGGTGGAGGACCATTTTTTCCACACAATTACAGCTTTCCCGATGTTGCTGCCTCTAGGACCCTCATTCAATATATCAGCAATTTTATTACTTCGGGGTAAGTTCTAGTATTCTACTAACCTTAATTCTACTCTATCTTCAATACAATATAATTTGAAGGATATATTGAACAACATGGGCATGCTTACCCTTAAATCTTTATCGAATTGTATTCGCATCCAGATGGTTATATTTAACGGCTGCTTACCATCTACAGCGGATATTTTCAAAGGTAGTGGGATATCTGAGAACGTGTTGTTGCGTTTCTAAGCACTGCCTGCGCATTTCAATGCTCGGCTATTTCACTGGGAAAATAAAATTAGGTGGTTTTAGAAAAATAATTAATCTCTTGCACCTTTGGTTGGACATTTCAGTGTTGGAGCATCAGCAAAGATTAATTGTGCGAAGCTAAAAGACCAATGTATTAGAGTGCCCTATGCGGATGCAATAACTTAGTTGAGTTTATAAGTAAAATAAAAACAATGTCTTGGCATTTAGCATTCGGCAGAAACATTTGACTTTGTGCAGAAAGACCGACTAAGGGCGCGAGGCCCTATCGTAGAACGAATAAAGCTCCTTAATACTACTACTAAAAACATTGCGGCAGTGACAGCAACATAAAATTTGAAGAAAAAGCATAATTGCATTACTACCCGTAAATTAATATTATATTATGGGCTGCGTTTTAAGCACAATTAGCCAAGTCCTGAAATAATCTTTGCATTGTGCAGAAGGTTTCATGTTTCCATAAAAACTCTGGCTCCCCAGAATAAACCTTTCCACCACAACTTTAAATCCGCTAATACCCTCAAGCTCCATCCCCTTGCCTAATCAGATTGAACACAAATATAATTTGGGAATGCTCATGACCTTAAAATCTCCAACAAACGGCGTAAATAAAGGCAAAGTAAAAGCTGACCTGGATTTTATTTGTGCTGAGTAAATAAATCTGGCATTATGCCTTGAGAAAGTGGAGATCTTTGCGACTGGAGATAGTCACGGCGGGGGATTTCGTTATCGCTCTGGCAAGATAAAACCGCTGCTGACGCCGGTCTCGTAAAATATCTCATGAATACCAATCAATAGATAAACATTACGTTTAAAATAGGAATATTTAAAATATGTTTCTGTAAGATCGTTCGGTTTACTTTTACCAATCGAGTAACTGTGTTGGGAATAAAAACAATTAAGAATCACTACGCCAGTGCCCAAAATATGTTGTCTAGTTTGGTCATATTTGCTATATTAATGTTAGTTAATTTTAGCGTATTGTCGTGAAGTGTCGCTATACCTTCAGAACAGCATGCATAATATTCACTTTTGTTCCAACCAGGAACCTACATTTTATAAAGGTGTTCTCCGTAGTAACAAATATTTAATGTTTTCAATCAATTACAAGCGGCCACATCCGCAAAACTATGCCCCGTGAAAACATGTCAACCTTTCTTCAGTCAACAAAATAAACTTAACGACAATTGATTACAAGATATCAGATGCTCAGCTTCATAGTCCATGTTTGACTCGTTCGCTATACGAATCATAATATTTTGAGACTACTTTTCCAGACCTTCATAGGATACTTTTCCCGAGCATTATACAAGGTTTCCGGAAAAGGTGCTACCAACAATTAACCAGGCAACTCTACAGCGATCTACATACTCATGTATACATTTTCGTTTACCTCTACTTTATGTGAATTAAGCACCGAGCTCTCTTACATTAAAACTGTCAGCAATATTATTTATTGCTGCCGTGGCAAGAATGATTACAATGTCATGTGATCGATAGTCAACTGTTGTATTATGTTAGGCAACGCTACAGCGTTATAGAGTTAGATTTTAAAAATATTTTTTTTTTTTTAATTTTTTTCTTGATATCCTCTGACTGTTTCCTAATTTGGTACACTTAATACTTATGATAATTTGTATTATTGTTCAAAAGTTGACATTTATCCGATTATGGAAAAAAGTTGAACTCACTCATGTCATCTACTTAATAACCTATACTTTTTTATTTTCCGCCTTTTGTTGTGTAAGAGCTCTTAAAATTTCTTAATAAAGGTTTACTTGTCACATCTCTCTAAAATAAGCAGTTTTCGAGAAAATCTACTTTTAAAATTGTGTTACACGGTGTAAGTACCTCAAATTATTTTCAACGTTTTAGCAGAGCGTGGCAGGGAAAAAATTGCTGTGGTTTTCTATAACAACACAGGCATCTGTACAAACAATTGTGACATATTGTAAAGCGTAAAAATAAATGTTAATGCTTTGTCGACTATACATATATAGTAAAAAAGTTTTCTGTTAATGTCTGGACTGGTATAGTAGGAGACTATTTAATTGAGTCGTATTTTTTGCCACCTACACTCAATAGTGAGACATGCTTGGATTTCTTAAGAAATCAATTGCCTATACTTTTGGAAGATGTGCCCCTTCAAGGTAGAATTTCAATGTGGTTATTACAAGATGGAGCTCCTCCACATTATGGCGCAGCTGTAGTGATAGGACGTGGTGGGTTTGTAGAGTGGGCTCCCAGATCTCCTGACTTAAATCCCATGGATTTTTTTTGTGGGTATGTAAAAAATTAGTATAGCGCACTCTAGTACGCATCCCTCCCGAAGTGAGGCAGATCATTATTGACAAGTGTGAATAAATTATACAAAAGGATTGAATATTGTATAGGACTTGTCGCAGTTTTTTGAGAAGGCTTAATTTGTGCATTGAGGAGAATGGACACTTTAAAAATATGCTATAAACCTTTACAAACTGTATAACAAAATCTAATAATACTTATTACCTTATTAAATATTTAATAAATAATAATTAATTGTAAGTGCACTTGTTTCCACGACCCGCTCTGTTAAAACGTTGGAAATAATTTGACGTGCTTACGCCGTGCAACACAATTTTAAAAGAACATTTTCTCGATAACAGCTTTTGATGATTTTAGAGAGTTGACAAGTAAACCCTTTTTACGTAGTTTTGAACGCTCTTTAATTCGGTTTTTTTTATTTTTTTTGAAATCAGACATAACTAAAAGTGGAAATTAAAAAAATGTATAGGTTATTAAGTAGGTGACATATATAGATTTCAACCTTTTCGCATTAACGGCGGTTGAATCTCAGCTTTCGAAAAATAATACTTTTGATCATGAGTAATAAAAGTGTGCCAAATTTCAAAACAATTAGATAATCAACAAAAAAGTTAATTAAAAACATATTTTTTTAATCTAAATTTAACGCCCTGTATATCCGTTATTATTAAGTTTTCGCAAAAGTGCTATAGGAACTTGTCACACTCATTTTTTCTTGTTAAATGTTGGTAGCACCTTTGCCGGGCACCCTGTATAATATGCCTAGAGCATCCTTCAAGCAAGTTCATTTCAATAACAACCGAAGCGCATTATCCTTGGTACCAGATTAAATATGAGCTAAAAGACTCTTCATCCTTCATTACATGTTGCTTCAGTTAGAAGCTGAGCGTAATTTAATGTTGAATTTAGTAATTTAGCGAATTATCTAAGATCGGGTTCCGTTTTCTTTAAACATAATAGATGAGAAAAACTGTAAACTTTAGGTCCGAATAACCAAATATTATTAAATATCGGATACCGAACAATCGGGATTACTGTAGCTGCTCCCGCACATTTGTAATATGCATTGTAATTTCAGTGCTTATTAATATTCGTTGGACTCTTATGCCACATTGATAATAATTTTAGTAGACCTTTGAGCAAAAGCGATTGTTTAATTTACTCACTCAATGCCACTCTACTTGTCAGACCGCTATTTTATAACAAAATTATACCATCTATTCTTAAACTTGAACGAGTTTAAGTTTGGCTTCAAGTATAGCCACGATTTATGGCTTTCCCTAACAACGAGATAGCATTATTCGCAGAACATTTTGTTTTATGGTCGCATAAAGAACTGACGTATTTAAAGCAAACTTATCACACGTACGAAGCAGTAAAATAGATTCGTTGTCGGTTCATGAAGCAATGTCTTCAAACTCCGAGACCTTTTAAAATTTTATTTCAAAACTTTGTTGAATGCAAGTGTTACATTCAAGAAAAACATATCAGCATCATTTTGTTAGTTGACTTA